GGTCATGTAATGCTGTTAAACGAGAAGAAGAGGAGAATCCTTTTTTTTGATGGTTCTTAATATTATCTAGATTTCATTAGAACTAAAAATTGTCCAGAGGTTTCTGGAAATAGCACATTAGCTGAGCTAAAACTATTAACATTAAAAATCTCCACTGTTACAGCATTAACTGTAAAGGTGAACATGCTCCAGAGTAGCACTTCCAGTATTCTTGTATGCGTGTTAAAAATTGAGGATGTGTGTTTGGTAGGGAGAGTTACAAAACAAATTACTTTAGACAGTCTCATAGAAAGCCCTCTAGTCATGTATATTTAAATAACATCTAGGAATAGCTGAGTGCCTCTGGCTAAAAATGACATCTCAGATGGAATAGCTTTGACAACTGCTGAAAAGTCTATTAAGACTCATGATCAGTGTGACCCAGCTTTGTACAGTGGAACAGAAGAACATACGGAATTATTCTTTAAAATGGTTAATAATCTTCAACCATAATTTGTACCGTGTCTTGCAAAAGACTTCGTGTTTTCTGCTTTGCATTCTACTGCATTCAGTTGTCAGTTCTTGCCAATTATCTGGAGGAAAAAAAACGCAAAAAAAAAAAGCAGCAAACCAGCAAATAAAAGTTCTGTGTAGTTCACTCTGATAAAATGTTTATTTCCTATGTAGTTAACGAGTAATGTCTAAATCATGTTGAGAAAGGCTACAAACTTATTCTAGAAACTTAGTAGTTTTCTAATGAGTTTTATAATTCAAGCAAATGAGAAATCTGTATTAAGGGGGGGAGAAGTTAAATTGATCTCAGGAATGAGAAATCTCTAATTTCTAAAGTTTAAAAAGGGTAATCTATCAAAATGACAAAAAGGTGAGGAAAACGATGTAAAAAATAATTGAATAAGTAGCTTAAAGGGGAGGAAGAGAGGTAAAGCTAGTAAAAATTAGAGATACTGATTAATTTTTGAAGTATGTTCCTAGGCTGATTCCAGCATAACAGCATGAGGACTGGCCATCCTCTGACCGAGTTCTCTGATCCAAGAGTAGCCTTTGAAAGGAATCATAGAATCATAGAACGGTTAGGGTTGGAAGCGACCTCAAAGATCATCTGGTTCTAACATGTATACTATAAGCCTCTGGAGTGAACTCATAGTTTTGGCGTTAGTATTTACAGACTGTGATACTGCAATTACACTTTCTCTTCTCAGAAGTTCCTGCAGCATTAGCTCCTCTTGCTGTATCCACAGAGGAAGTGCTAGGTAGAGGAGCTTCGTTTTTGACAATCGTGGTAGACCAGCAGCCCATTAATTCACTCTCTGTGGGCTGTTAACGTTGAGTATGAGCTCAGGGGCCTCAATTCTGATACTCCGGTGAATTATTTTCCTGCTTGAGACCTGAATGCTGTCAAACAGATCGTGCTATCTGAAAAATTACAATAAAACATGATGCAGGTAATATCAGGAAAATATCATAGAATCATAGAATGGTTTGAGTTGGAAGGGACCTCAAAGATCATCTAGTTCCAACCCCTCTGCCATGGGCAGGCACATCCTCCACTACACCAGGTTGCTCAAAGCCTCATCCAACCTGGCCTTGAACACTTCCAGGGATGGCGCATCTACAACTTCTCTGGGCAACCTGTTCCAGTGCCTCATCACTCTGAGTGAAGAATTTCTTCATTATATCTAATCTAAATCTACCCTATCATGCAATCAAATGGTGAAAGAAAATAAAGGTGAGAGCATGTAAATAGGGCCTGGTTTGTCTTACAGGAAACTTGTCTTGTTCTAAGCTGTGCTACTTGGTGTGAGGTAACGTACCGTGTGTGTTGGCATTCACATCTAGTGTAAGCCAATGCACTAAACGTATCATTAGCAATAGTGAATCATTTTCACACTCTTGTCATAAAATTTGAGATTGCTTGCTGAAAGTCGAGACAGTCTCAGCTCATGTGAGCATCTAGATGGTTTCTAAGGACAGAAGTGCAAGTGATATGGCAAACCTGAGATGGGTATGAGAAGGCAGGCAGATTTTTTTTTTTCTTTTTTTTTTAAATTCTCTTGAATATGTCTATTTGTACTCAGAAGGCCTGGTCTAGCCTTCCTCATTTGTCCTGGTGTTTGGTGGTTTTCACTCCCCTCCCTTTCTCCCAAAAATGATGGGGGGAGAAAGTGTCCCCAGCTTTTGCTTGGGCAAGCAGCAGGACCTGTGGCAATCAGTGCTGACTTGGAGCATTTCTTCAAGATCAGCAGTCTTAGTGATCCTGAGGGTCAGAAGGTGAAGCAGCAGATGTCCAAGGCAGCAAAGTAAATGAAGTGGGTTATCCAAAGGTGGCTTTCAGTCACTTGTACACTTGAGATAGAGCTGCTTGTCCCAGTGGTCTCCTCGTTCTGAGCAGCTTCTATTCCCTCAGTGTGGCTGATGCCTCTAGCTGCTGCCACCTAGACGTCCTATGGCAGAGAATGATCTAGAGAAAGAAAGGGAATCAAGTTTTTTAAAAGACAAAAGTTACTGTTTTTTTTTATTATGCAGGTTTAAGAAAAATGTGTTAATGATTCAGTTGATAAGAAAGGCAAAAGCTGTAACATAGGTGTTATGTCCATTGCAGCACCAAAAGAGTTTTTTCAAAGCCAGTGACAGTAGTAACACTAAAGAGGTTTTGTTTCTGAGGCAACATTTAATTGTTATTTTTTTTAATCTTCGATTTCAGGCAGTCTGTTGGGACAACAGCAAATAACATGGTAGAGTATAAGATGTTAAAGGGTACTAGTATATCAGAATATTTTTAAATGCTGCTGTTTTGATCTCTAATGGCAAGAACGTAGAGTAAAATGCTTAACTTCAGGTCTTTACTAACTTTCACTGTCTGTTGCCTCCCACTAATTTTTTTCCCTTAACTCCCCCAGTTCCTTTCATCTGGCTGAGGATGTTGTTAATGCAAACCAACAAGAATCTTTTTTCTCTTTCTTAAAGCTGACAGATCTGTGTCATCTCTGTAAGAATGGGGACAACTGCTACAAATAACTCAGAGGTGTTACATTTATTTCAGTCACAATTAGGCTAGGACAGAGCCTTGAGCCATGCCATTTATCAGGTTAAAATTAAATATAAATCACTCAGTTGAGAGGGTTAGAAAATTTTATACTAAGGCGAAGAAAGCTTTTAAGTAGCTGGTGAAGGCATTGAACAAATTCAGCAATGAAAATAACCCTGTATGACCTAAATTTACACCACTGGTGTCCTTATCCAATACCAAGAGCTGTTACAAGAAGTCTGTGTTACTTGGTCCATGCAGTCAAGAGCATGGACAACTTGCTGCTGTCCTCCCTTACTGATAGAAGATGCTCCCAATGAAATGGAGAACAATATGAGTCGATGTCCTGGAGGGGTTAATGTAATGGGACAAATTGGAGTTTGTGGAGGATTTTCAAGGAGCAGTAGTGTCTATGTTTGGAGTTGTATGCTACATTATCAAAAGCTTTAGAATAAAGAAAATAACATCGCACTCGAAGTTAAAGATGCTATTAAGGCACATTTTTTTAATTGCCATGTATGGCCCTTGCCTGATGTCTGTCTTCAAGATTACACCAAGGCCTTAGGCATAGAAAACCTGCTTAGAATTAGGTAAAAATGAGATTTTTAGGCAAGGGGAGGAGACCCTAACCTCTAGTTGCTTATCATTGCTGATCAACAGTGAGAAATGTCATTGTAAATGCCTGTAGGAGAGGCAACAGCCCTGCGCGTAGGAGTCCTATGGAGCGTCAGTGAGTGAATCTGACCTGAAACTGTTCTGCAAGACTTTTTAGACTGACAAGATTGGGTGGGGGCAGATGAAAGAGTAGCAGGGGTGGTGTCATCTGACCTGGCTGGGCTACTAGCACTGACTACTCCTCTGCAGCCAGTGGACTGTACCTGATCTGCAGGATGGCTAGTTCAGTTGGATAATGTGGAGTCTGAAACAGTATCTGTATCTCACTGTGATTCTCTTTGAAGATCACAGATCAATCCATTTGTTTTGAAAGTGGAGGCTGGTCTTGAGCCCAAAGTACAAAAGCTTTTTCTGTTTTTCCTCTTTAGTAGTGTGTTCTACTATTTGCAATGAATAAACGAAACAAAACCAAAACAAACCACCATAAACACCTGAGCAAAAAATGTTTACTTGATACCTCTATTGGGAGAAAATGGGGCAAAAATGTCAAACATTCCCTTTAAAGTCTTGTCAGTTTACTAACACTGTATCACCAATGCAAATTATTTAAGCTGCTAAGATGCATATAGCTCTGTGTTCCTGAGTTGTTAGCAGTGCTTTGTTAATAAGGTCCATATACTGTTGCTTTGCTTTCTTTTTAAATATGTTTTTATAAAAGTAGAATTTCATATTACTTTACAGGTCCTTTCTCCTTCCAGACAGGATTGTCTGTTAAATAAGTTAACTCCTGATGGCTTGTGATGGTATCAAAGGCATCTTTTAAATATAGCTCACGTGTAATTAGGCATGTGCCCATATCCTAACTCTTAACATAGACCCAAATTCAAGATAAATGACTTTAAAATAAGTCTTTGACTGCTTAAACTTAAATTCCTCAAGTTACTCAAATGGAAAGTGCATGGAAGACTTCCATAAATAATATTCACCAGTGTCACTGAAGCGTGAATCTGTTTCAGAAATAAATGGTTCCATTTCACAGCAAGAAATATGTTTGAATTGCCCACTTGAATGTGTTAGAACTGCTGCAAGGAACACTGTTTGTGACAGCCTGCCATGATTTAGACATAGTTTCGCTGAAAATTGTTTAGATTTCAGTTATAGTATGGACGGGCAATTTTGCTACATATTGCTTAGCTTGCTGCTACTGTTTGAGATGTAGGAGCATCTTGAGAGTGGATATTTTCATAACAAGAAAGTAAGCTAGTATTAGATTCCTTGCAGCACGAATGACGGTTCAGCTTTCGATTTAACAAGGGGAGAAACTGAGTTGCTTAAACCTTGTTCGCTGTTGTAAGGAAGTTGTCATGTGAGCGTAAATGTGCTGAACCCAATACAAAGTCAGTGCAATCTCAGAAGTGAACTTTGGCAGTGACAACCAATACATTTCTGTCTGTACATGAACTACCAAATTTTATTCAGTACTGCAAGATCTGTTCTTGTGCATATTGAAATAATTTAATTGAACACTAAAATTATTTACCTTTTAAGCATCTGTTGACTTATTGGAGCATTAACTCTGTTCATAGTAAAATACCAAGCTAAGATAAGCGTAGTATCTGCCATGGCAGTAATAATGCTGGTTCTTTATTTGGGCAATAAGTGTAACTGTGTTAAACAATGTACCTGAAATCTAACATTTATGTTATTTGGGTTAAACCTTGTTATGCTTTGTATAGGAATGTATAGGTTATCCTGTCTTTGAAGACCTGAGGCTCTGAACTTACAGTAGGAATTGGTAGCAAAACTGTAGAAGGGTGTGTTTGCAAAGATCATTGTTTTAGCCTTTTTAAGTAAAAAGGGCACTTGACTTTCCTTTGTTACTTCTTACCCAGTGGATTCTAGTCCTTTATGTGACTCAGCAAATGCTGTCTTATGTTTCTTTCTATGTGCAGATTTTAGTCTTCTGACACTGACTAGAAAGAATGAGATTTTTAATGACTTAAAACCCCCATATATTCATGTTGTTTTTTCTTGTTTGCATTTTCAGTATTAAACTTTATCTGAAATATTTTTATAATTCTTTATAATGCTACTTCAGTATTAGTGGTGAGGATTTAAAATGACAGTGCTACTAATGATAAGTATCCTGCAATGCTGAAATCTAATTAAATGCTGGGTCTTTCTCATGACCTTTGCATTTTCTCAACCTGTACATCTTTGGATGCTCTTGAGTTACTAGAAAACCTATGTTAGGATAAATCCATTCTTTCCTTGGCTATTACAGCTCTGCTGAGTCTTAAAATTATTTCCTGCCAAATATTTATTTTCTATGCTTACGTACATTTCACAACAAAAAATCCTTTTATAAGCAATTTGATGTAATTATTCTGAATAAGCAAGTCCTCACCGTTGTGTCTCTTCTCCTAGACATCCCAAACCTTTGGGTCAAAGAGAATTGTATCCAGGCAATCACAACTCTTAATCTAAATATCTTCCTGCAGGATACTAGGGTTTTCCTTTTCTTAGACAAAAGCTGGACAGGTGGTATAGTACTGTCAGCGCAATATGAAGAGTGAATGCTTAAATCTTGTATTTATTCTAATTCCTTGGTGGTTCCGAGTGTGCTGGTTGGTTGCAAAACTAGCAATAAGCTGTTGCACGAGAAGTCAAACATGTATCTGCCAATGGAGAGTTTAACCAACAGGCCAGTCTTAATTACTGCGTTGGAGAGGGCTACAGCAGAAAGGACAGTTCTGAAGACTAAATGCAAAATAAAACCAAGGTTGTTTTCACACCCCTGGCTGACATCAGGAATCTGAAACTTTGCACTGTTAAGGTGTATGAATGGTATGTCCAGGTCTTGTTTGCATGACTTAGATTCTACTTATAGTTTGATTTTTCTCTTCTTTAGTATAATGCTTCACCACAGCAGCAGAGAGATATAATAAAGAGTAGGAGTCTGGACAGGAGGCTACAAGAACCAATAGTTTTAACAAAATGGAGGCACAGCACAATTGTATTGGACACCAACGATAAGGTAGGAGCAAGTTAAACAGCATGCCAGAATACCAACTGTTTCTGCTGTGTGAAGTATTTAATCTAATAGAAATGAGTATGCATGAATTTCTGAAATACCATTTTTCTTATTTTCTGTTGTATCACTGTGTAGAATGTTAAGTGAAACCAAAGGCTGTTTGATAACTCTACTACTCACAAAGCAACAGTAGTAGCTCTTTTCTTGTTATTCTCTAAGTATTTCAACTAGTGTTAGTTCAGTTTGGCATGTACAGCCATTTTACTCACCACCGGGAATCTCCCAGTTCAGTTTAGGCTATGGAGTGTAATTAGGGTTTGAATTCAAGAATTGTGGAAGTGGATGAGGTTCTCATGTAGGGTAAAGTGATATTTCATGCCTGAATGTTTTAATTGTAGGAAACACCAAGTAGGAATACACTTGAAAGATTGCAGATAAATAATTGGAATATTCACAGAATTGGAATAATTTGCACTTGCTAAAGTAAAAACTATGACTTAAAGATGTAAATAGCAGTATTATGTAGTGGATTTATCCCTTTACTGACTGTTCCATTGATATCCACCATAATATCTCAAGGAAAGATGAAGAGCTGTGCATGTTACAGCAGGGTAGCAATATTGTTATTGAGAGACAGAGGACAGTACCGAAAGTGCTGAAATGCTTGGCTGCGGTCCCGTCCAGTAACAATAAAAGCTGTTTTCTGCCCGTTCTTAGGGCATGTTCTTGATAATCTGGTTTGGGCTGTACAGTCACAGATGCCATTCAGGCCAGCAAAGGAGACGGAGCCTCTCCCTTGCTCTCCCTTTGCCTGTCTCTCTCCGGTTTGACTTTTGTCCCAGCTGTGTCTGTTTGTGCTGGGACGTTCTGCCCATGGGTGAGGAGAGTCCATGTGAGCTGAGTGAGGAAGATCTGAAAGGGGTTTAAACAGGTGTGGTAGGGTGGGGACTTGCTGGTTTCTGTAACTTCGGAGCAGTCCATCCCAAGATTCATGCATATCAAAATAACTTTGGAATGCTGAAATCTTAGCCAGGCTACTCAGGACATGGTGTTGTAAGCTCCGTTTTCTAAAGATACAGGGGAAAATGAAACAGGTGTGGATTTGGGAGTATGGAGGAAAGCCTGTAAGTGGGCCTGTATAATTGCAGGTGTCAGATAAACTTAAATGGACAAAATACAGTAGTTGTAAAAATCTGCTGCCCAAAATGTTACGTGCTCAACCTTTCGTTTCCAGTACGATTCAATGGCTTCCCTTGTTGAAATGTAGTATAAGAGAGTGGATTGTCAGGAGTTGACTTGGTTCCTCAGAATAGGAGTTATTGCATTTGATCTTAGGCTTTTGAGCTGTCAGTTTAGAATATATCATATGTGGTGCTGAGGAGGCAGTGGACCGTGCTTGCTGGAAACTTTGCACCTGTACGCGTTAGTTTATCTCAGGGGATTCTGAGGTCCCTCCGCTGCTCCTTTGCCTTCCCTACTCCTCCTTACTCATCCCTCTGCAGCAAGTGCGGTGTGGCACCTGCATGAGCCACATCCTAGACGGAGTCCTGCTTAAATCAAAGCTGAGTGGACACTGCTAGCCTCATGTGCAGTTTACGCCTCACAGGTATGAACGATTCTGTTTGAGATAGTTTAAAGTTTTGGCCTGGGTTTTAAAGGAAGACTTATCTTTTTATTTTTTTGGTATAAGATTCACTTCTGTTTTGGAATGACCTTTACGTAGTGCTGCACTGAATGAAAAGCTCTTGTGAAACGTTTAATAAGTGGAGCTGTTTACATTTCTTCGAGACCCAATGTTCAAATACCAAGACCTTAAACCTAGTGAAGCAAACATGAATTGTACAAATGCTTGGTGTAATAACCAAAGGAAACTGTATATACGAGCCACATTCATAAAGTCTAAGTCAGTAGCTTAAAGTTCCTTTAGCAGTTTCAAAACATGCAAGCAGCATGCATTTTTTAATGGTAAGGAAATGATGTAGTTCGTATAAAGCACAATATTAATGCTTTGAAAAAAAAAAAGTGTCGTGAAGCAATAAAGTACTGTTTTCTGGACAGACAAAATTTGTTCAGCACATTGTTGCACTATTTTATTACCGCTAGCAGGCACACTGTTACATATTCTCCTTTAAATTAGCATGTGGAAAGGGAATGGTTCATGACAAATACTGGATTTCTTGTTCCGGAGTTGCTTAGTGTATGAAGGCTATCTCAAATTCAGAATGAAATAGAAGGAAAAACAACGGATATTTGGCTGCATAGGCACATCAACCCCAAGTTAGCTTTTTAGCTGACTCTAGGGAAGCTGTTTTCTTTTTATTTCCCTTATTTGTTTTTCCAGGAAAAACAACACAACTCAATTCTATGAAAATAAGACAGTCAAAGGAGTGCTTGAAATGTGTCAGAGTGAAAGTATGGGTTGCCTTGGCTGACAAGAATTTGATGATACAAAATGTGTGTGTTAACTGTTTATTGGCTGTGGTACATACCTGTATATAGTCATCAGCTAAAAAATTTGGTAAGCAGAGGAAAAAATACTTTCCTAGGAGGGACAGTGTTGATTTCCTTAATTTGAACATTCCCTCCCCCCCCTCCCCTGACATCTAAAAATGCTGAACATTTAGACTGTTCTTGAGATTGCTAATATTCTCTGTTACGACACTACTAAAAACTAGTGGGCCACTTCTGTAGGTAGATTTACAAGTGAACTTTAAAGCACAAGTGTGCAGAGTGTTATGTAATGCTGGAAAAGCAAACTAAATTTGGGAGAGCTATCAAGGGAATTAAAAAGAGGGAGGAGGAGAGACGTGTTAGCAGTAACAGAGAACAAGTGACGTTTTTCTTCTGTTTGAAATTCTTGAACGGATTTTCAAGTGGTGCATTTGTGCAAAGCATTCATTACTTCAGAGGAAACACACATGCATGTTTTGTTCCAGATTGGCAATTTTTCTAGTTTTCAGAGATTTAGTACTTTTGATCCATAGTTAACATCTAGTTTAAAACAAAAACCTGAATCTCTAGAAGTTTTCAGTGCTTGATTATAAAGAAATTAATGATTATGCTTACAAAAATTGATGGAGCTGGTATATGCTGTTCTACGTGTATAACAATTTATTGTACTGATCTTATACTTACTAACCACACAGAGACATAATCTGTTCTTTAAAGTCTTGTTATTTGTTATATGGTGCCCTGTAATAAGTATTATAAGTGTGCTTCATAATTTCATAATGTCATACAAAAAATCTGCCTCTTAATAAGGATGAAAGCTTTGCTTTAAGCTGATACAGTATGTATTAACATTTTTTTTCAAATGGATATGTGCTAATTAACCCAGTTTGAGTGTTGTCTGTAAATCTTGTAAGAACACTGTTTAGTAAGCACGTTTATAATATAACTGAGAATGTCATGAATGCTTCAGAAATGTACTTTTTTTTGTAATGTTTAAGTGTGTATAAAGAGTAAGTATCTTTAGAGTTAAAGAAAATTATTAGAATTGTAAGAAAGATAATAACTTATGTTGCCTATTTGAATTTTATAGGAATCATCAGCTGCTTCTAAGGCCAGTTATCCTGAAAATGAGTCCTCTCCTTCTTCACCAAAGCATCAAGCCACAGTCAGTATGCAAAGTGTTTAAATAGATAAGTAGATGTGGTAGAAACTGGACTGTTTATGATTAGAGAATTGAGGTTAAGCCTGCTTGTTACTGAGAATAATAATGGGATAAAACTATTTGAAGGCTTTACATTTTAAAAGGAATGCATTGCATTCAACTGTGCTTTCAGAAAAATGTCTCTGGTTTAAATACAGCTTGGTGATAGGAGATAAAGTTTAAAATTCACAGTGGAATAAGGTTGTGTCAAATTATATAGAACTCAGTTAACTTCCTCCAACAGTCATGTCTTCTCACCTAGCAACTTGGAAGGCAAAAGCAGAAACACACTCTCCCTCTCCACAGGATCCCTCACTGTCAGTAGTCAGTAATAGTTTGTAGAATTTGGTATCTTTTATTTTTACTTGTGTTTCAGTCTCCATGAAAAGTCATAGAGGACCCGGCATAAATAAACTATGTCTTTTTTTATTTATTTAGTAGAATAACTACTGGGAGGAAAATTTAAGCTTGTTAAACTCATTATGAATGTTTAACAGATTTTTTTTATTTTGGTTTATATTTTAAATGTGATAATTGCATTTTAAACAGTGGGAAATTATTTTTAAAAATTGTTTTGTTTTGTGTTTTTAATTTAGGAGCTGTACTACAGCAGCATAAAAATTTGTACCTTGATCAATTTTAGCAGCCTGAGTAGGTAGCTCAGGGCATTAAAGGCACAACTTCTCTTGGTTTGTTCTTACTCTGCACGCAAAGGAATAGTTAGAATCATAGAATGGTTAGGGCTGGAAGGGACCTTCAAAGGTCATCTAGTCCAACCCCCCTGCAAGGAACAGGGATATCTCCAACTAGATCAGGTTGCTCAGGGCCTCGTCCAACCTGGCCTTGAACGTCTCCAGGGATGGAGCATCCACCACCTCTCTGGGCAACCTGTTCCAGTGTTCTACCACTCTCATAGTAAAAAAATTTTTTCCTAATATCCAACCTGAACCTACCTCCCTCTATTTTAAAACCATTACCCCTTGTCCTATCATAACTGGCCCTCCTGAACAGCCTCTCCCCATCTTTCCTGTAGGCCCCCTTGAGGTACTGGAAGACCGCTATAAGGTCACCCCGGAGCCTTCTCTTCTCCAGGCTGAACAGCCCCAACTCTTTCAGCCTGTCCTCATAGTTCTCTGGCTTATTCATGCTAATCCATTCTTAGAACTCTTCAAACAGTTTTCCACAATAAAATAAACATTGTTTCTTAAGCAAGCATAGTTGGTAGCCTTATACAGAAGCAATTATTCTAATTGCATGTATATGTATTCTAATTAGCATGTATTCTAATTTCTTTAAATCTGGCTCAGGCCTTGCATTATTAAAATTGTATTTTGTAGGAGAACTCACTGCTGCTTTAGATAATAGAAAAAAATGATCTGTATTTTCTTTAGCTGTCCCCTGGGATTTAAGTATTACAAAGAAAGCTGGTGATTTTTTCTGTATTTTGATCCTTAACTTGCTTTCCACTTCCTTTTCCCCAATTGCATTAATTTTCCCATTAGTACCCCCTAGTGTTGCTGTTAAGTAGGGCATTGTGATACTTTTTTCGAATAATTCTTCTTTGGAGCATTCCCACCGTTTCTGCCATGAGTGATTTATTAAAACCATAGTTTATTTGAGAAAGTGGTCATGGGTTGCTCAGTAACTGTGAAAGATGGTGACAGACCGTTCCACTTACTAAAGCCCAATATTTGTTAGAAGGATGCAATGCACAGGACTGTTAGTGGTGGTCTGCATGGATCGTAAATAGTGATATAAAGAATGGGCTTTTTT